TTCAAACATATATTTTATTCAAAAATAAAAACATCATCGCTTTCTCAAAATCACATAAATCCATATTATAACATCGACTGAGATAAAGAAAAAAATGAAATATTAAAATCACGATGTATCTCTCTACATTGCACGAGTACGCTTCTACTATATATATATAACAATAATTAAACGAGAACCATAAAACGGTTAAGAACCTTAAGAACCAATCTCAACCATCTAATTACTCTAATCTAACAACCTTAATTAATGTTCCATATATAATTAAGGAAGGTTATGATGATAATTATTTATTTATTATTTCTACTTCCTGTTTTTATAGATATCAAAATTTAGAATAAATTATTATTTTGTTTTAATTCAATCTTATACGATATAATTTATATGTAATAACAAGATATTTTAATAATATTTTATATTTCATTAGTTTACCGTATTATTTCGTTTACTTTCTCACATATACATAATATACCGGTAAAGTATAGAAAAACTCATATTCTTATAAAATATATTTAAATATTTTTAAATTATAAAACCATCAACATGAGAAAACAAAATACAGTAAATAAAAAAAATTGTAATTAAAACATCACTTGAAACACTAAAATTTTATTTCACGCAATGAAATAATATAATATCGCCAAAGTGAAAACAAAACAAAGTTGATGTAAAATGTGATGTAAAAGTGAAAGTGAAATACTAAAATGTTCTTTTTATATTGCGAAACAAAATAATGTCATTAATGTTAAATAAAAAATTGTTGTTTTCACGATTTGAAAACAAAATAAGACAAAAATTGACGTGAATTGAGATATGAAACACTAAAGTGTTGTTTCATATTGTGAAACAACACAATGTTTCACATGGTGAAACAATGTAGTGTTGTTTTATCATGTGAAGAGAAAAAACAAAAAATGATGTGAAATATGATATGTCTAAAGTGTTGTTTCACAAAATGAAATAAAATACAAGTTAAATCATTTTCATTGTTTTATGTAAAAATTTCAATTATTAAAAAGTATAAAAACAATAATGATACTCGTGTCAAATTAAAGAAGATAAAACATTTATTTTTATATAAAATTTTGAATTAAAAAGTTGATTGTAATTAATATAATTTTGATAATCGTCATTATTAATTATGGGTTGGTGTCAAATACCGAGAATGCCCTTTCGACTTGCCATTTATCGAATAATTAGTTTCAAATTTTAAAAATGTCACAAAACTCCATCGTCTTTCATAGCCGTAGAGTTATTTAAATAATGATTAAGATTGGTTCTCACAATCCTCAACTTTTTTTTAATTCTTATATGATTT